AGATACTTCAAGTCACATATTACCGTAATGAAGTTAGAATTGTAGCATTTCTTGCATAGTATTATAATATAATATAATTGCGAGGATAATATAAGAATATTTTTCTAATACTTTGTTTAGTTCTTTGATAAGAAGAACATATAGTGAATTAAAGTAGTATAATTTGTCAAATTGACTTATTCTTATTGTATCATGTATGCCCCTTATAACTACATAGAAATTAAGAATTAGAAAGTAAAATTAGATTAGATATCGTTGTTCTATTATTGTGATATATACATATTAGACTTGATGTTGAAATGAAATACTTGTAAGACTTTTTAAAACTAAAAGAAGTAAACTAGCTACCAACTAATACCTAATTCTTTTTTTCTTTTTTTTTGGCTTGGAATTAATACCTAATTCTTAAAGATTAGTATAAGACTATTAATTTTTTTTACAAATGTACCCTAGCCGTACTTGTATTTTTTTTTTTTGAAAAAAAAAAAAATTTATCGTATCACCGTGTCCGTATCTCGTATGTAGACATAACAGACTAGGCTTTATGAAAGGGAGCCATTATTCCTACTTTACTTTGCTCTAAATACATCCCTTAGTTACTATTCCCACTCCATTTTGTTCTAAATACACTCCCTTCTATGTAAAATAAGGACAAAGAAGAGAGTGTATTTGGAGCAAAGTGAAGTGGGAATAGAGGCTCCCTTTATGAAATGTTGCTTTATATCAGTTAATGGTTCTTGAAAGATAACATGTACATTCTTTAACCTCACTTTCTGTCACGACCCCAACCCACCCCTAGAGGTTAGAGTGGTGACCGGCCAGTAATCATAGATTACCTATGGCTTCAAAGACAAAATTTCAAAATATTTAAATAATATCGAGTTTGAAGCGGAAGCAAAACAAAAATAAAATTGTCTATTGAATGCATGATAAACTGAAATACTAAAACATTTCATATAACACTTTAATATATATATACACAAATGCATATCTTATACACCTCAAATCATACGTATAAGACTTTGACAAATAAAGCTTAACAAGCTTGTCAAAATCAAAAACAAAAACCTTAATACGGAGGCACATCTTCGGATGGCTTGACAAAACGGTGAACTCCAAAGCAAACTTTAATACTGATCTTCCTGATGCTCACCTACATATATATAAGGGAGAGGGGTGAGTTAGAGCCCAGTGAGTAATACAAAAATAAAGAGGTTAATGAATGAAGTCCATCATAATATAAAACATGTTTTACAATTCAAAAAAATGTATTTGCCATATCTTACATTTTCAAATGAATCATATATCGAATTCAAATCAAACATTTTCCATATCAAAATCCATTAATCATTCATCATATGTGGTACATCGAATAGAGTAACAATTGGACCCAAAGGCCTAAATCAAAAGGACCATCAAGGTCTAGCAAAGGGACCATGAAGGTCTAAACGAAGGGACCATAAGGTCTAGTGAAGGGACCACTTGGGTCAAATCATTAGAGATCTTTGTCAATCCAATAATCGAAGGGCCATGGTATTGTTTCCCCCAGGGGAGGGCCTCACTAAAGGATGCCACAAATACATTTCAAATAAGACATTCATTCATTCATATAAAAATAACATTTCATAACACCATTCATGTAAACAATTTTCAAAACACATTTCGAACATATTATAGAGATATTATTTATAGTGGGCTTGAACGAATATTACCCCTCGGATGTCCAACCTACACATAGCACACAAACATACACATCGAAACATTATATTATTCTCTTCTTGATCTAATTGAATCTTACTTCTCTTAGTCTTTCTTCTCAAATAAACCGAATTCTTAGTTTGCTTCTTTAACCGATTAACTTGTGTTGGTTCTTAGCTTATTAATTCTAAATGAGGCTTAACTCATGCTTAAAGATGCTCAGAAAGAGATGATGATGAAAATATAAACTTAAGACAATTTTTCAAAATATGCTGAAACAGAGTAGCACGGGTTCTCAATACTTTGGTTTGTAAAAATAGATTCTGGATGGTCTCAATGTTCGCTCGGGCAGTGACTTTACCACTCGAGCGGTCTGTAATTTTTCTCTATTCCGAAAATCAACAAAAATAATTTCCAAACACATTTTCAAAACTTGAAGTCTTGCATGGCTTGATTATAAACACATGAAAACACTTCAGAAAACCTAAATATTTGATCAATTTCAAATCATTTACATTAATACTCCTTTAATTTCAAAATTACACTTAAAATATTCATAAACTTATGATTTTTCAAAACTTTATTCTTCTTCCTTTGAACACATGAATTAAATCTTCAAAACTTTTAAAAACTTATGATGCATGTAAAGATGGAATTTCATTTCATGAAAAATAACAAAAATCAAACTCAAATAATAAATTACAAAATTAATCTCTTAGAATTTGAACTTAACTCAATTTTTAACGCAAAACTTAATTTATAGTCATAGATATTCTAAAATATGTTTAAATTAAGTAGAACTCTTAAATTACATTACATGCATGGATTAAAGATCAAAATCAAACCAATTCCTAATTTTCATTATAAAATCAAAACCTTATCTAACTTCATGATTACCTCCAAATTTCCATGAACTTGATTTTTATAAAACTTTTCATTTTTCTCTTCAAAATATGAAATTGAATAGTTCAAATTCTTCAAAATTCATGATGCATGTACATATAAAACTCAAATACTTCGTAGTGTTCAAAATCAAACACAATTTGATGATATTTTAAGATTAATTTCCATATTCATTAACCTAACTCAATTTTCTTCATCTTCTTGCTATTTTTTTTAATTACATGAAATTAAACTTAATTACTTCTTAATTTCAGCTTTTAGGTGACTTATCTACAAGATTCAAGTTTCAATTTCTTACCTAGGTTCTTCAATTTGTTGAGTCTCTTGATAAAGTTTTGAGTTTCTTCTTCTTGTCTTCAATTTCTTTGTCTCTCTTTCTGTAGATTTCCAGCAAATACAAGTTGAACTCTCTCTCTCTCTCTCTCTCTCTCTCTCTCCTATGGTTCCTCCAGCTCAATAAAAGGAATAGGCTTCTATATTTTACACCACTTTTTGATTTCTTCTCCCCCCCCCCAAAAAAAAAAAAAAAAAAAAAATTCTAGAATTCTCTGCAACTTTCATCTTTTATAATTAAGTAATTGAGATTAGGATTAACTTAATACATAATTACCATTATCTCAATTAAACACAATTTAATCTTGATTAATTATAAATCCCACATAACTTAATTAATCCCAATTAAGGCCTCGTTTAGGAACATGTTATTTTAGTAACTTTTTGGTTTTTTATGAAAAGATGCGCAGAAACGTAGAGAGTAATGTGACAACTTATAGTATTTTTTTGATTTTTTGGCTAAAATGTATAGTTGACACACGAGACCTAAGGCTTAATTTAATCATATTTAATTTTATTAATCTGAATCAAATTTTTAATTAAACTCTCATATGATTCTATACAATAAACTGAATCAATTAAAGCTCGTTACTTATGGTTTCTTAAATCATCTAGCCTTTCAATTTCTGATTCAAAATAAAATCTCCTAATAAACGAATCACTATATGAATTCTAATTTAGTAATCATGTCTAGTTCCAATCAATTAGAATTAATTCTTAATTCTTATTATTAGATTAATCTCAATTTTTATTTATTTATTTATTTTTTGATCAGAAAGAAAGAAATTTCCAATATTGAAGCCAAACGGCACTTACAAAGAGGAATCCATCCAATTTATAAACTTACACCAAGCAAAAAAAAAATTAGATCAGAAAATACACGAGTAAAAACTATGAAAAATGCAGACGCACAACCTGTGCTTGTGCTCATGCTGTGAAGCAAAGGTCAACACAATCGGCCATAGAGCATGTTTGAGATAGATTATAGGCTACAACCATAGAGTGGGTAAGTCACAGCCTAGCATCAATGGACTCCAAAAAACACACCCAAACCAAAAAAACAAAAACAAAAATGAAAGACAACCTCATACCCGAAGAAATCGGCCGGATCCGTGGAGGCGGCCAGATCTGAAGCAGATCTGGCGGTGGGATGGAGATTACGGCTATAGTGAGCAATGGATGAGGAGGAACATGGCCGATTTACCACTGGCGAGACGGAGGAGGAGCAACACAACAAACTTCCACCATGGGGGAAGAAACTCCTCACAAAGAGGGAGATGTTGGGAAGAGAGATCTCCCAAGAGTTATTGAGCAGAAACAAGAAGGAAAGAAAAGGAGGAGAGAGGAGAGGGGTGGCCGGAGGCCGAAGCTCCCTCCCCCTCCCGTACAAAAACCCTAAGAGAAAGAAGGGGTTAGAGAGAGAATGTCTCGTTTTTAGAGAGAGAGAGAGAGAGAGAGAGAGATGGTAGATTAATCTCAATTAAGCTAATTTAATTTTACGTAATTTCGTTAATCTTAATCGATTTTTCGACAAAATGCCTAAAATGTTCTTCACGTCAAATTAATGCTATCAGGCTTCTCAATTAATATTTCTAAGGTTTATAAACGTTTCAATTTCAAGTCTGCAGTTATTCCTTGGCTTAATTTGATCCACCAGGATTATGCAAACGTTTTAAAATTGATCTAATTTTTCCTTAATTTTATAATTCTTGACACATGTATTTCCTTCACATTCCTAACCAATTGTATTCATTTCTAATTAGTTTCTATTCTCTAATTTTCATTTCTATTCCTTGATACTTTAAGGTACTGAAAGTCAACTAAATATTTTTATATATGTTAAAATTAGTTTGACAAAGAAATTCATGTGTTCTTAACTTATTAATTATGCTCTTTCTAAACATTAACTTATCCATTTTATATAAATTAATATAATTAATTTGGCTTAAGTCAATCAATGAAGGATAATAATATAATTATCGAAATTGGTATAACTTGGGGTGTTACACTTTCTTAGTGACTTTGATTACAATGTGCATTTGATGTTTGTGCTTCTATTCTTACAGGTGTTATGAAACTGAACAAAAACTTGAAGAGAGAGAGAGACATCCCATCAATCATAGGGATAGACACATGCTTTATCAGGTAAGCTGTTCTAGCCGTGAGTTTTTACTTTCTGGTTGATGTTTTAGGAGCCATTCATTGAGTTCTATTTATTTATTACTTCATGGATATTTTGTCACTGTCCTGATTGTGAAGTGAGATGGATAAATCCTGCAGGTTGAAATCAATGATGTACCTCAAGATACGAAGGATAAAGATGAGATTCTTGAGAGCGAATTCTTTGATACAAGACAGGCATTTTTGAGTCTTTGTCAAGGAAATCATTATCAATATGATACACTCCGCCGGGCTAAACATTCTTCTATGATGGTACTTTACCATCTTCACAATCCCACTGCTCCTGCATTTGTGACAACTTGCTACATATGTCATCTTGATATTGAAACTGGTCAAGGTTGGCGCTGTGAGATTTGCCCCGATTACGATGTATGCAATTCTTGTTATGAAAAGGATGAAGGAATTGATCATCCTCATAAGTTGACAAACCATCCATCGATGGCCGATTGTGATGCACAGAACAAAGAAGCTAGGCAACTACGAGTTTCAGAGGTTTTTTTTTTTTCCTTAAAATAAATTCTAAGTAGTTTTATTTTCCCAGTTTCTTTTTGTCATTCTGTTGGCACTTGCGACTATTTTTGGTTTGTTCTTTTCCCTTTTTGTTGGGAAATTCTTGTGTCACGAGCCAAACTCCATCTTTTGTTGATTTAGGACCATGACCAGCCAGTAGCACTTGCTACCTTTGGCCTATTGAACTGGATGGAATGCGAACCTGAGCATCATCGAAATCATAGATAAAAAGAGCATATGAACATGCTAATATCATGTATTCTATCCACTTGTCTGTCGTTTAACTTCGCCTTAACATGTATCACATCTCCCATATCTTTCATATTTTTGATAGACTAAACAAGAGGACTGTGTTGACCTGGTCTCCTTGAAAGATTCTAAGGAAAAGAGAAACTGTATATTCAATTATGTGTCCAATAGAGAAGAATTACATCAGTATTTATAGCCTAGGATAACCTTAAAATAGAAAAAGAAACAAGCATAATTCCTAGAATAGAACATTGGATAATATCTCTAGAATATCTATGATATCTACAAAATATACATAATATCTAGAGAATGTGTTTGGCCAAAAAACATCGAGAGTTTGTCTAGAAGGATCCGGAATCGAGCAATAGTGCGAGTCATCATGAAGAAATCAGCAAGTTGTAGAATTGAAGTGATGAAGGGAAGATAAATTGATCCAGACTAAAGATGTTGATGGATGAAGTGACAATCAATCCCAATGTATGTCTTCCTCTCATGAAAGACTATTATGGACAATGTGGATGGCCCTTTTGTTGTCATAGTAAGGCAAGGTTGGAGAAGACCAAGAAACTCCCAAATCGGACCGAAGGCAACAAAGCCTTATAATCTTAGCAGTAGTATGAGTTATAGCACGGTACTCAACCTCAATAGTAGAGTGGGAACCAATAGTTTGTTTTTTGTTTTACTAGGAAATGAGAGAATCGCCAAGAAACATTCAGAAGTCAAAGGTGGACTTACAATCAATGACACTACCAGCCTGATCAGAATCAGAATAGGCCTGAAGTTTTAAAGAAGCGGTGGAGGATAACAGTAAGCCTTGGAATATAGTACCTTAGAGATAGTGCAGCAGTCTAAATGAAGCAACCTAGTGCGTGGATCGAGGAGTAGAAACAAAATGACTGACCACATAAACAACATAGGCAAGATCAGGGAGAGTCACAGTTAAATAGACCAAGCAACCCACAAGTTATTGATACGAAGGGATCGCCCTAAGGAACACCATCAGTAGTATTGAGCTTCATATTAAGCTCAATCGGGGTGTCAAAAGTCTTAGTATTGGAGAGATAGGCATGATGGATAAGCCTCATTAGCGTATTTGGCTTAAGAGAGAATATACCTTTTTAGTGAAGAGGCAACCTCAATACTAAGAAAATAGCGCAAAGGACTTAGACTCTTTATCTTGAAGGTGCGGAAAAGATGCTATTTGACCTAAGTAGCAAAAGGGTAACAAAGTAGAATCATGGGCACTAGGATGGAGCTCAAGTTGAGTAAAAATAGTCTGAAAGTGGTTGTACCAGGCATGTGGAGATTGCTTCAGACCATAAAGGGCATGGAGAAGATGACACACTTGTCCAAAAGAATGAAGTAGACTAGAAAGAGAACATATGTAGACCACCTTTAAGAAAGGCATTCTTAATGTTCATCTGATAAAGAGGTCAACAACGGACAATAGCCACATAGATCAAGGTATAGGAAGTGGTCATCTTGGCTATAGGCGCAAAAATTTCTCCATAATCAAGGCCATACTTCTGAGAGAAACCTTTAGCCACTATGAGAGCTTTGTAACACTCTAGAGATCCATTTGAATGAGACTTGACTTTGTAGATCCACTTGCATCCAACCAAATTTTTGCTAGTAGGCAAAGGCACTAGCTCCCAAGTAAAGGTCTTCTTCAAAGTAGACAGCTCATCCTTCATAGCTTGGACTCAATCAAACCTAAATGAACAGAGGTCAAAGTAGAGGTCAGAGTAGATGGCTAGTTAGAGGACATCATGTGTTAAAACTGAGCAATCTGAGCATAGCAAATTCAGAGTCACTGGGAGAAGATTGTCCAGACTGACAACCCTTCTTGGGCAGTTGCACTTTCAGTGGCCATTTTGATGGCGGAAAGTACACGTCCTAAGAGAGCTTGGACTTGGGCTTTTTGGTAATCTGAAGCAAATGAGTGGGAGCTTCTATTTGCACATCTCCATTTTCCTCTTTGCACACACTTAATGATAATTATTTTTATTATAATTTTATTTCCAAGTGAAATTACTATTATGGACATCATACACAATTCAAATAAACACATTCGGAAGTTGAATATTGAAAAAATGAAAACAAATTTGAAATTCTACTTCCGAACAAATTGTTTATTTTCAGAATGCTACTTCCAAACCAATTATTTATTGAAAAAGATGTGTATAAAGTATAATGGGTGTGTGCAAATAGAAGCTCCTCAAATGAGCACATAGAGTCGACAACAGGAGAAGCTGAGTAGGAACCAAGAAGACATATGGAGACAAAACCTAATTGACAGTCTTGAGCCGAGGTTTCTTCGGAGAGGAGCTCACAAACAATAGCATCTACAGAGGGGAGAGGACATTAGTGAAGGATGCCACCATGGATGGCCTCAAACTGGGAGAAAGGATCATAAAAAACTGCAACAAATAGCCCTCTCAAAACTTCAAATAATCATTTAGCGCCTTGACGCTAAGTAGTTCCATCAAGGCCAATTGATCTCAGAGACCAGTCATCTCGATATAGAAGTCCTAGACTGTGTTACATGGACTTGCCGATTTTAGCCGGAGTATTCGAGTCAACACGATACAGCACAACACGAATACGGGTGCGAGACTCGAGTCGGACACAACCTTGTGACAGACGTGATTGACCATAGATGACGAAGACGGAGGAGGAGGAGGAGGAGGAGGATCAATGATGTACCTGTTTGGCATTGCTTCGAAATCGCGGATGATGAACTTTATAGTTTCTTTGTTGTAACGACTAGTGGCTAGGGATTTTTTAAGATTTGTGAACCCTTTTCAGCTTTATTTTGAATAGGCTAGGGTATTTTAGTATTGGATTAGAGGTTTATGAAAATGTGTATATTTTTAATCCCAAATACTTGGCCCAATATAATCCAATATTAAATAAAAATGTTGAGCTCTCATTAAGAAAAAAACCTTCATCACAATAAAAGAATAACTTGGGCCTTATTAAATCTCATGTGTAAATTATTCTTTAAGTCTTACATAATTATTCTTTAAAACTCATCATATATTTTTAAATATATATAAATAAATGTATCCTCGTACCTGTATTCAAATTCAACTCTTAAGACACATATCCGAGCCTAACACTTTTGCCGAGTTCATGTAACATAGGTCCTAAATGGACTTGTCCCGCTAGCGAGCACTCTAAATAGCATTATCAAACTCATACCGCTTGGCAAAGTTAGACTACTGATAAACACCAAGTAAATGGTCCTACACCTCATTTGCAGTAGTGTACTGAGAACATCATTCCAATATGATTTGCCACATAGTTGTGGAACCAAGTCAAACTTGGGAATTATCACAATCTCAAGCTTCGCATGTAGGGCTAGATACCCCTTTCTTAGGATCCTATGGGCAAGGTATAGAATCAGAAATATAACCCCACTTCTTGCAACCAAGAATGAAGTTTTTCATAACACTGGGCCAACAGGTGTAATTGGCGCCAATGAGTCTGCAACTGCTGGCCTGAATCTTGTCATCTGATATTGTGAGAGCTCAAACAAGGGGAAAAAAAAAAAAAGAATCAAGAAAGGGGTTCAGCGTAGGGTCAACTAGGGCTGAAAATTGTTTGGTTTAGGGTTGGACAAAGTCAAAGGGCATAGAGAATAGCGTTGGGATTGACTCTGAAGAATTGCGGCGGACTAGGAAGGGTCACAGTGACCTTGTGGTGGTCGAATAAGGTAGAACTAGGGCTCGGCGGGGCTGATGGTGGTCAACTGGCGCAGGGGAAGGTGTAGTGGCATTCGGCTACTGCTCTTAGAGAGAAGAAGCAGAGACGAAAAAATAAAGTCAGATTGTCAAAGGTGCTGAAACAGAGACAACTTAGGTCTATGGTTTTCAGAAACCTAATACCTAGAAAGTTTCGGAGGAAAAGAGAAATCGTACACTCAATTGTGTGTCTAATATAGAAGAATTACATTACTACATATAGCGTGGGCTAACTTTAAAACGAAAAAGGAAATAGGCATAATTCCTAGAATATTACACAAAGCAATCTCTATAATATCTACGATATCTACAAAATATACATAATATCTAGAGAATATACAAAGTTTTAGAAGGCTTTACTGTGACTTGCCTTGAGGCTAAGGTAAAGCTCATCAAGACTTTGATTTTTAGGTTATACTCTTCAAAGGGTTGCGCATCATAGTTTGAGGCATGCACCTTAGGAGTGCCTTGTATGCCTTTTGTGCATAAGTATATGGGGAGTACGCATATGAAGAGATTGCCTCAGGCTCTTGTTAAACTTAGTCTAGTAGATGGTTGAAACATAACAAAGCAAAAAAAAAAAAAAAAAAAGATTCTTTATTGCAACTATATTCTATATGAGTAAATGACCAATCAAGGAACAACACAAAGTTAGTGCGAAAGTGAGAAGCTCAATCGCTAAACTAAGAATGTCAATTTCATTAATGAAGGCAAGTTTTCTTCTCTATAGTGAAATGTTCAACGCCTTAAGAAGAAAAGTATTTACTCCTTTATATTTAGTTTTTTTATTATTTTAAATTAATTAATTTATTTACTAACCATTGAAATTTAAATTTTGAAATGCTTATGCCTCGTTGTATGAGGGATAAAAAGCCCTGAGTTACACATTCGCCTTTAAAAACTTTGTGAATATCTCAAACTCCTAATCATAGACAGACAATGCCACTATTGATGTTCCAATAGTCAATGTCTGTGGGGCTAGATGCC